GAGAGAGAGGGCGTCTATTCAATCACAAAAAAAAACGAAGCATTTGTGGGCGCATCTGCCCATGTTCTAGCGGGAAGTCCATTCTCATTTCGCACATTTCAAGAGTTGTGTGTGTGTGGGGGTGGGGGGGGGGTTGCGCAGCGTCCGACGCTGAGTTTGGCGCACCAAACTTGGCATTAGACTCTCTAACGCCTTCTCTCGCTCTCTCTCTCTGAACCTCTCATGAGAATGAATCTTCCTCTTTATCGAGGAAGGTTCATTCTCGTTGGGTATGTCTGATTTACTTTTTTTTTTTTTTTTTTTGCAGAATGTTATATGTTTATTTTGTGTTTTTTTTCTTTTTTTTTCTCCCGTGATGTACTGCCGGTTGTCCGAGGCTCGGGAATGATCGGGCTACCTGTAGTCCGAGCCTCGGACTTGATAGCTGGGCGAGGTACTGGTGGTTTAAAACAAGAGAAAATAAAAAAGTGTTCTCAAACCATTCCTAGCAAGCGGATCATGCAGACGATATAGCATATCTTCATCTTGTCCAAGGGCCACTCTTCTTTGGAGGCGCCAACACAATTCAGTGGTCGGTTGTTGCATTCCCGATGTGGGTCATCACCGATCGTGTATCACATTCCACGCCATCAACACTAATCCGGGGGTGCTAGATTATGGAGACGGATTACAGGAGGGGATAGATGGCCATGGGATTGAAAGGCCATTCTACTTGCCCAGTGCCCACGGTATGATGGGGCCGGTTTTGCTGCCAACTCGTTCCGCACGGTCGGAAGGCAATCTGACCGTCTTATCAAGATGCAAAGATGCATTCATTAGCAGGAGGGCTTCTTAATCACAGGTTCTGAAGTATATGAGGCCATCATAGAGTCTATTCAAAGATTTGCCATTTATCCGAGATAAGTGACAGGTGCGCACTGCGCAGCCTTGGGATTGGAAAACCATTTTGTTGGGGCATTGGGAACCCCTAGAGCTCACTTTATCAAATTTTCAAAATAATCTCTTCGAAATTGGCCGTAAGGCAATACTATGGGTTTTATGGTATAAAAAATGTGTTAGAGAATATGAGAAGGTGAGCCTAGATGGCCATGAGACACAAGAGCTTATTGTTCAATTTATACAAACAAAAATCAGAGCAAAGTGAACTGGAATTAAAGCTAAGTTGCAAAACCTTCATCTAAAAAAAGACATTCAACAAATTATTAAAAATTTTAACCTGGACTGGTTGGGGGGCGTTGCAGAGAGGGGCTTGGGTGAGGTAAAATGGCCAGGGGAAGAAGAGATAGGAGGATCTCTAAAAAAAGACTTCCATGTCATCTTTCGGGATTGGTTCAAACTTCATCCAGGAGCCTTTCTCAGATCTCCGAATTGTTTCCCAGACCCATTTCCTCCGTCTGAGCTTGCTATAGTAGAAATGCAATGGTAACACGCAGGGATAGGATAACTTGGTTGAGAGACTCTATTTGGCGGTCCTAATGGACTGAAGAGACTTTCCTTTCCCTGTTGCTCTTCCGGAGTACTTCTTGCACTGCTCAGTCAAATTGGTTTTGATTCTTCATTTCTACTTAGTAATTAAAAAAGAAGGGAGGGACTAGTTTTTTGGCAGTAGATATCTGGCGCCTGGTATAAGGGCGAAGAGGTTTCCTCCCCCCCCTTAACTACCTGCACAGTCAATCCTTTGGATACCAGAGTAATCAATGCTGGCTGGTTTCAAAGTCAACTTCCTGTATTCATTTTGTATTCATTATGTAAAGGGACGCTGGACCCGTTTTCCAGCAGGTGATGCTCCCCACCAATAGACAGAGCCTCTCCCCGGGTGCTAGTGGTGTCTGATTTTATCAGTACCACTAGCACCGCAGGGGGGTGTTTAAAAAATAATAATAAAAAAAAAAAAAAAAAAAAATGGCAGACGACTGGTGAATGAAATAAAATAGGGGTAACTTCAACAGAGTCACAAAAACGAGTTATAATTGCATTGCGGGGCAAGATACAGTTTGCAATAGCACTTCGGGTCCCCTACCTGGCCAGAAAGCTGGGTTGTATACATTGCCCGAACTACAATTCAAAACTGTATCTTGGCCCGTAGTGCAATTATAAGGTATGCATTTCCACAGTTCAAGGGTATACAAAACTGAGACCATTTTGTTAGATGGTGCTACATTTTGTTAGATTTTGTTGGCTTTCGCTTGAAGGACCATTCACAATGGGACTTTTCTAACTTCGGTTGGGATGGACTTGGCCGGAAGTGCCTCGCCCAGCCTGCATGGCCGAGATATAAATGTGACGGACGGTAGACCCGGTTTCCAGCACATTGCGAATGGTTTTTCTTTTCAAAAAAAAAAAAAAAAAAAAAACCTGAAACCATTTCCGTTTATCGTATATCCCTAAGACAACACCACTCAGTCAATCCCATGGAACCCAAGGAGTGAGGTCCCACCAACAAAGACTATTGGATAAATATCCTGAATTTGCACATGTTTAACCTAGAGATGCAGAAAAGCAATTCAATTTCGATTTTCTGCACCGTTAAACAAACAAATCCAGATTCAGGCGTTCCATCCAATCCTCTTTGCTAG